AATAATAATAACAATAATAATAATAATAATAATAATAATAATAATAATAATAATAATATAATAATAATAATAATAATAATAATAATAATAATAATAATAATAATAATAATAATAATAATAATAAATTATTAGTATTGTTATTGCTATTATTATTACCAGCTTCTAATCGAAATCAAATTTCAATTTTACTTTTGACCGAAATTTTATTTCATTCTCAAATAAAATAACATCATAAATCCTTAATCGAAATTAAACTTAGATTTCATTTTTAACCGAAATTTAATTTTCTTTTTAAACACGAACAACAACAACAGTAATTTTTAACTGAAATTAAATCTTAATTAAGAAAAAAGAAACAGTCAAACTAATGATGTTGTAATATGTAGTTCGAGCTATTATATCTAATTTTTTTCCTCTTTCCTTTTTAGTTAAAATAAAATACAATATAACAGTGCTATTAATGGAACACTTTTGAAGGCCGCCGACAATTTTTACTACTTCCCGTCGTACACACACATACACATACACACACAGACACACACACACACACACACACACACACACACACACATACACACATACATACATACGTACATCATTCTTCCAACGGTAATTACATCCCCGAAAACTTTTAATTGTAAAAGTTACAGGCAATAAAAGTTTTTCCTTCCTTGAACCATTCCTTTCTTCATTTAAAGGAAAAAAAGGACAAAAGGAAAGGAATTTCGATTTCATTCAATTTCAGTTGCATTTTTAATCAGTTCGTTTATTCAATTTTTTTATTTTTATATTTCGAAAAAAAAGCTTTTTTTGACTTCCTTTTTTTTAAAAAAAAACACGTTTTTAAAAATAAAATAAAACAAAAATGATGAAATCTTTTTTTTTTTTGATTATTAACATTTTCATCTCATTGACAATATCAGATTTTAGCAAGAAATATATGTAGATTGGATATCCCAATCTATAATTTTTTTTTTTTGCAAAAAGATTTTAAGCTAGCTAATATCATGGCTAGGCTTCGTAAATATGGATGTATCCTACGAGCCTACGCAATGGATTTTTTTTTTTCCTTTTAGATGAGGACAACATGCACGGAACTGGCCCCATCCTATACTTTTAAAGTTCATCTGCCAGGGATCTAGCAAATTACTACGGTACAATGAAGTCTTCAGGACATAAATTTTGTTAGGCTATCCTTCTCTGAGATGGTTAGCCTTATATGATCAAGCCAGCTCCATCTGTTCGGTTTTGGAGTTAGATTGTCCCTTTCCTAGAATGGCTGACAGGAGGATAGGAAATCAGTCCATCGTCCCCATGATATACACTTCGTTTGACCCTTCATTTGAGACCTGTCTGGCCTATGAGAGACCCTATCGGAGACATATGCTATCGCCAACATAGCTCGCAATCTCATTAGGATACAAGCTTCTTACCCGCTACAACGATATATGTCCACGTTGAGGGATAACTAATATACAGATGGATAAATTAACAAAACGACATATAAGTTAATGGATAAACGATAAACATATAAGGTAGAATTATATTTGGATAAGTGAAATTTTAAATTAAAAATACTTAATTTTAAATTGAAAGTACTTAATTACTAAGGTATAAGAAGTAATTGAAAAAAAAAATGGAAAAAAAGGAATTAAAATAATTTAACGAATAATTCAAATATAAGCAGATGAGATTTTACTTTATTTAGCATCGATTATTGTCAAAAATGAAATTAGATGGGGAAAGTTTTTGTGTCAAAGATAAAAAGAAAAAAAAAAGAATGAAATTGACAATGATTGCTATTCAACGTGAATGTGAAATACAAAAATTCCTTATCAAAAATTAGCGAAAAAAAAAAATGTAGCACAAGTTTAATGTTGAATACGAAATACGAATAGAACAGAAAAGAAAAAAAGAGAATAGAATGGAACAGAATAGAATAGAATGGAATAGAGTAGAATGGCATAGAATAGAACATAATAGAAATAGAATAGAATAAGCATAAATAATAAGATCAAAGAGAATTACTATAATGAGGGAAGCCATTGATGATCGACTAAAAGAAATGAGTGGAAATATGGAAAAATGCTAATGCTTGAAGTAGTATATGTCTTTCCCTTCCTTCCTCTCCCTCTTTCTCTCTCTCTCCCTCTCCCTATTTCTTTCTTTCTTCCTTTTTCCTTTTTTTTCTCAATCAATCTGAAAGGGATAGTATAATGATAGCAGTAAATAAACAGTTAGTTTTTTTGTAGTTGTTGTTATTGTAGTAGTAAAATTATTGTTCTAGTAATAATAATAGTAAAGGAAATAATAGCAATACTAATAACAGTAGTAGCAGTAGTAGTACTAGTAGTAGTAATAATAGTTGTAGCAGTAGCAGTAGCAGTGGCAGTAGTTGTAGTAGTTGCAGTAGTAGTTGCAGTAGTAGTAGCAGCAATAGTAGTGGCAGTAGTAGTAATAGTACTAGTAGTAGCAGTAACAATAGCAACATTACTAGTAATAGTAGTAGTAGTATCAGTATCATTAGTAGTTTTATAGTAGTAGCAAACTAGCATCAAATCAGCACTTTCAAATCGATCGCAGTTATGTTGGTACGGACCTCTCACTGCATATCTGTCCGAGTTCATGTTAATCATTTCCATTTGTCAATATCTCACCCTCATCCTTTCTTGTCCTTCCATTCTCCTTCATCATCCTCTCTCCCTTTTAATCTCAGATAGAAGCAGACAGCAGAGGTGTCTTTGTTAGTGAATTTTACTTTTGTGACATTTTCCATC